GAAAAAATTCTAGCCTGGCACTGTAAATTCCAATGTTTTAATTAATGTTATTAAAATTAAGGCTATCCGCTCTTGATGCATGCCAACAGGCTCTAGTGCAGCATGGCTGGCCCTTAACCCGAATTGAATTGAATTGAATTTAAGCCAATCAAATCTCTGGAATTATTTCGAGCGCCTACTTTGGTTGGATAATGAGCCCTGATAAAGCTTTATCCATAATGTTTATCTTTCGAGATATCGACAGATGCCAGCCATCATGTCTTTTAAACGTGAATCACATTCTATTTAACATCAGGAGTTGGCGACGAATGATGTTTTTATTTAACGCTGGATTACTAAAAATCATGTGGTGGCTCAATGTGACACAAACATATTAGCATAGCACGTTCCAAAGCTTGTTATGAAATTTTATTGTATTCTCATATTTGGTATTAAATCTACAAAGTCAAGTAATCAATGAAATTTTTATTGACAAAAATTAAATTATTTGTAACTTGATGCTTGAAAATTGATGTGGACAAATTTAATTGACGATCGCCAATCAATCCTCCATTTTTATGCGCGAATAAAATTGGGTTTGGATTGAATATCCAGGCAACTTGGCCTGTCTGACCTAAACTTTTAATTTATGTGCGTGCCAATTATTTGTTGGCCCTAATCTAGAAAAAACGGCACCTGCCTAATTATCCTCTCAATGCTGAATCCTAGTGCATATGTATTATCTATTCAACGGAACGACATGGAGCGTGCAATTAAAATTACATAGCGTCAGTATCTTCATTTGAAACGCAATTACTCTCAGATTATCTAGATCCACGAATGGTCCATTTTTAACAAGGTAGGCAATTTGATATGGTAGTCAAGAGCACTGAAATGTCAATTATTGCAATACGCGTGTCGATTTCTTTGGAGCCGCAATTGGTGTGTTTAAGTTTTACTGTCCACTCCTTGAGCATTACACGGTTAACTGATTGTCGATGCGACAATCGGGTTTACTCCTGATTGATGTCTTTTTTATCGCTGGCCAATGTTTTCTTTAAGTCCAGCATTTCCATTCGAACTCTGTACAATAGGCCTTCATCCGCTCTAAAGGTCAACAATACGTGGTACTCTTTGGCAAAGCACGAACGAACAAAGCCAAATGACTGCTTACACGGAAATGGATTTGGAAAAGACTTTGAAATGCAGCTCATAAAGCCTTAGTAAGTCAGATAATTTAGGTGTTACTTTGGATTTGTGCTTTGCATGTTGCGGTTGCTCTTTTGCGGGCAATCTTTTTGGACTCCTTTAGCTCAAACTGGTTAAGTTCAATAAACATCGCCAAAAATTAAATACTTTGTAAATTTGCAATTGGAACGAAATTTATATTTCTTTGGACTATGGAAGATTCATCTTCATCACCGCCGTACGACCTGTTATTTAAAAGTACATCTTTGCTTGCTAACAAGTTAGTTATTCTTATTGGAGATTCGGGCGTTGGAAAGTCAAACATTCTTTCCCGATTTACGAAGGACAAATTTATGCTTGAAGCCAAGTCTACAATTGGTGTTGAATTTGATTCTCGTTGCCTCCAAATTGACGACAAGACCGTGAAGGCTCAAATATGGGATACTGCTGGCCAAGAAAGATACCGCGCAATAACCTCTGCATACTATAGAGGGGCCTCTGGAGCCCTTCTTGTATATGATATCACAAAACAGTCGTCATTTGATAGCATTCCGCGCTGGCTGGAAGAGCTTAGAGCACATGCTGGAGAAGATGTCACCGTGATGCTTGTCGGAAACAAGTCGGATCTTCGTCATGCCAGAGAGGTCCCAATGGAAGTTGCGCGCCAGTTCTCAAGTACGGCCTTGGTTTTTACGTATAGTTGACAACCGCATGTCATTTATTGAGACTTCTGCTTTGAACTCCACCAATGTCGAGTTTGCTTTTCAGCGTTTATTGACATATATTTTGCAAAACTTGTCTCCAGAGCAATTGGCCTATAACTCTAGATCCAGTGGTCTTGGTGGAAGGGGCTCCGTTTTTAAGGGAACTCCAGTAAAGTTATCTGTGCACCACGGCTCACATTCTTCCTCGAGCTCGCTGTCAAACCCGTCTGTAAATCGCAAAAAAAGCTCGAATTGCTGCTAAGATTAAAATTTTGTAGATTCCGATTTAGAAATAGCAGCCATGCATGCATGTCGCAGTGTTGTCTCAGATTTACTTTTAAAAATGCCAATCAAAGGGCCCTAACCCTTTAGTTAGTCTTCAGGGCATCCGGAAAAACTGCATTCATGTAGCCACGCCAATGGCTGGAAAAGCTCAGTGATCGAGGGTTGACCTGTGGTATGTAGGATGCAGATTTAGAAATAGAGCATATGATGTTGGTAAGAGTATCCTCATTTGAGAAGGCAAGGAGCTTTGTGTTTGTATGCAATGAAGAGATTCCCTCCTTTAAACACTGGAACTCTAGTGCCGCAATTTGCGGAGTGTTGCATGATACCATGTCAATGATCTTCATGGGAAAGTCAAGCCCGCTTGATGATACGTGAAAGGAAATTCCCAAATCCGCCGCAGAAAGCAACGAGTAGTAATCGAGCAAGGAAAACCAGCCAAGAACGAATGTTGTGTTCTTCCAAGAACTCTTTTTGCTTTCAAGATGGCGGATGAATGCGTTCTTCAAAGGTCCCTTTCCAGTAATTACGACCAGCAAGTGTTGCGAAAGCAAATTGCTATGCTCAAGACGATCGATGGACTGCAGCAGCGTGTTGAAGTCTTCGTCTGGGGTCCAACTGGTGGCTGAAAGTATGATTTTTGGATTTTTTGAAAAGATCTCTCTGATCGGCACCGATGTTGACTTCCAAAAATCGGGTTCAATTGCGGACAACCTGGCTTCCAACTGAGAATAAGAGTACACGATCTACCTCGGCGCGGCTCAGGGGGGCTGGTATCGGGGTTCTGGGATAGTCTCTGGCAACAAAGATTGAAGAACTAATGAGTGAATTTTGAATACACACGTGCATGCCTTGGAAATCCCTGCTGCACCAAATAGTCTTTGAGTCCTTGTGTGACCGTCAAATGGCAATCGGCAAAAATTCCAATTCGCAGCTCAATGTATTTGTAAATCGCCCTTAACATTGCATTACGATGCGGCAGAAGCGAATAGCCCAGGTTATGCCAGTCAATTATCCAGCGGAATGGATTCCTGCAAACAAATTTCGAGAAAAACAGCAAAAGAAACAGGGGCACCCCAGGAGGATTCTAACATTACAAGGTGGCCTAACCTGGCAAACAACGACGTCCCAGGAAATGGGCGATTCCCAAAGAAGAAACCAGAGGATGTAAACGGAAAGCAAAACAAATTTGAACGCGGCAAAAATCGGATAAAATACAGAGCCCTTGGCAATGTTAAGCGATTTGAGGTCGTAGAAGCAAAACTTTTTATCGGTCTGAATAGTGTTGGGGATGCTGCTCTCTAAATGATATGCGACAAGACTGGGGCGACCCTACCTAGCAATGCTAGACAGCCAACTTTGTTTGCGCTCTTCAGCTTTAAAGATTCCTCCACATGCAACAGCGTGCGCGGTGAATGTCCAACATCACCGATCACAATGTACAATATGTTGGAGGACATCGGTGGGGCAGGGTTTAAAAGATGCAAATACCCCGTTTTAATTAACGTGTCTTTATTTGAGGGCTATTTTTTGATTTGTTCCAACTCTGACAAAGTTGAAACTTCATCATGTTTTATTGATCAGTCTGAATTTTATTCCTATTGTCATTTTGACAGCATTTTACTTTAATGTCAGCCTCTATTGAATGGGAAGACGAGAATGCGGGCAACGGCCATGATCCCTGCCCTGCTTTTCCCTTTGTCCCGACAAACGATCCCTCAAGCATTGAGTGGGGTCCATCTACCGGCAATTCGCCGCAAGCTGTTCAAGAAGCGTTAAATGCTTCAATTGAATGGGGTTCAAATTCACCTGGACTTCCAAATAGGGAAGCCATGCATGATGATGCCACCATTTTTAGCGGTTGGATTAAGACCGTTCCAATTCAGGTATTTTTGTTAGCATTTTTATCGCAGAATCCGAAAATCCTCAAAAACTCTACAGAACAAACAAAGCAGGAAGAAACGAAGGGGCAGAGGGGACAAACGGAGCCTTCCGAGATCGAGCCTAGCCTATCTACGACGACGCCAAACATGCCTAGGAAAAAGCACTCTGTTGTATTCAAATTCGATTCAGAGCTCGAGGACAAGCACTCGGACAAGCACTCGGACAAGCACTCGGACAAACACTCGGACAAGCACTCGGACAAGCGCTCGGGAAAGCATTCGGACAGAGAAGTGGATAAGAAACAGCTTGGTAGCAATATTCCTCTATTTGGGGGGCCAGTAAATGCCAAGCAGAAGGATTTGCCAAAGAAAAAATCAAAGGCCAAACCCCAAAATGAAACTTTGGCCACAAGGCCTCCAATCTCAGCTCCATCGATTTCTTTGAAGGGTAAATCAACATACGCGTGCACCTCTAAGGCAAATGAAAACCTATTTATGGAAAAGCTTAACTTGGCAAATGATAAATTGCAAAAATTGAAGTTAGGTAATCTCCCCATCGATGAATATGATGTTCCCACACCACCGGCTCCTTCCAGTGCAGCTAAATCTGAAAATCTTTCCACAGCGGTTTCGAACATGGAAGATATAAAATCTTCAAAGAAAGATGCTAAAGAGGCCGGAAAAGTTGGCAAACCTAAAATTACAATGGCTATTGCTAGTGCGGATGATTCAAGGCCAAATATAGTACCGCCCCTTAAAGATGAGAGCGGTCCACTAGCTAAAAATCGGGCTGGAATCCTTTTAAAACCAGAGGAACAGAACCTCAAAACCAAGCCTGAACACTGCCATGAAGTAAGGGCCTGGACTGACGCTTCTGGGTCTTTTCAAGTGACTGCATCTTTTATCTCATTGACTTCTGTGGAGCCGTTTCTGGTTTATTTACTTCGATCTGATGGCATAAAGGTTTCTGTTCCCCTTTCCAAGCTTTCAAGAGAAGATGTTGTTTGGATCAGGCAACAAACAGGCGTAAAGCCGCCTGAGGGCCTAAAACCTACACCGGTCCCTCAAGAAAAACAAAATGTCAAGCATAACCATCGGGACCCACCTCCGCCTCCGCCTAAATTGCCCACAGACATCTCATCCTCTATTGCTAAATTAAACCCGTCCCATGGAATGCAGAAATCAGCTTCTCAATCATCTAGTGAGAAGCTTTCCTCTTTCCACGCTTCAAACGACAAAATAGGACACTCTACAAACGAGGAACCCCAAAAAGTATCAGCTGAGTTAAAAAAATCGCAAAATAATTCTTTTGTCGGCAAATTACAGCGAACATCGCCCCCGACTCCTCCGGCACCACCCCTTTCTTCAGCTCTTGCTGCACAAAAAGCTACCATAGTAGCCCCAAAAGATTTAAATCCTAAACTTAGCAAGAACAAAAGTGATGGGCTTCTTGTGGAGGACGCAAATGAAAAGTATTCCATTCTAAACAAGCCGCTGAATAAGAACGAGATTGACTTGAACAACATTAAGGTCGATGCATCTCTTTTGAAAAAAATTGAAAAAATAGATGACCATCCTCCGTCTTCAAGTGAACAGACAGACTCATCTGCAATGGATGGACCAAAGTCGAAGGAAGCCGCCTCGAAATGCTACGAAAGAGGTTCTACTTTGCCCCCAGTTGATGGCGAGTCATTAACTATCTCTTCTATTAAAGAAAAAATTGAAGTTGCTCGTAGTAAAGGGAAGGGCGAGGCTTTGTCCTCAGGCCTTTCTTCGGCTCAGTCCTCGAATCAGTCATCTGCCTCATCCATATCCTCTTCTCGCTCGTCTTCGAGATCCGCCCTTGAGGCTGTTTTTAAAGATCTAAACCAAAAAACAAACAGCGCAAGCTCCTCTTCCATAGCTCGAGCTAAAGACCCCCCTATCTCCAACCCTAAAGCTACCGCGCCGGGAAGTCACCCCGGTCCGCAAGAGAATGAAGGGTTTCGCTCACACGAAAGTCACAAGAAAAATGTTGCAAATCCCAGTGAAGCAAGTTGCCCATATTCTGTTCTGCAGCCGGAGCAAAGACACTCACAGCAACCTCGCTGGAATGAAGCACACGCCATGCGATACAGCCAGCCCAATATGAATGCTGTCGATTATAGATCGTTAATGCCTGTTTCTAAGGCTCCCCCCCACTATCATCAGCCATTCAGGCCAATGCCAAATAGCCAAGCTCCTCACTATGAAATGGGGCCATTTCAGGGGCCGCCCCCTCCACAGTTCATTCAAAATATCCAGGATGCTCCGGATAATAGGTTTTCCCACAACATCATCCCCACCTCGGTGGGGCCGAGCCCTGGAATCCCATATGAAACCTACCCCGCCCAACCAAAGTCATCATACTTTGTTGAGACAATCACATACTCCGGCCCTGGCGGAAGACCCCTAAATGGCTACCAACATGCACACCCTACGCCCCAGGCTTGTCCCTTTGGCCAGCCTCAACCCAGCTCTCAATATATGATGAGGCCATTGATGAATCCTCAGCCTCAGCCTCA